ACAGGTCAAAAAATCAGTGCTGTGACGGGATATTCAGGAGGAAACATCATTATAAACTACAAATATGAGACGCTAGAAGAGAATTCTTTGATAGACATCTGTAAAACTGGAGTAGATCAATGTTTAACTCTAATAAACACTAACAGAGCAGCAGAATGGACACATGTCGGCCGATTCTCCATTCATGATGACAGATCTGCTCGTCTCTTACGTGTGTTTATCAGACAACTGAATGTGAATGATTCTGGAGAATATAAGATTGTAGTCAAAGTTTCTGAAGACTACAGTTTCTTCTCTGAGTTTCACCTGGACGTTAAGAAAGGTGAGCTGCTTTCATTCACTCATGCATTTGTTTCTGTGGTGAACTGATGAATCTGTTGTTTAATGTGAACTTGATTTGTCTCTCAAGCAGCTGATTGTTGTGAGAAGAGCATCAGTCTATTAGCTGCTGCAGGAGGATCTGTGAACATCAGCTGCAAATACCCACAATCCCACAGTGCTGATGTGAAGTTTGTCTGCAGGAGATCTGAATCTGATCTCTGCGCTGAAGAGACGTCTGAGGGACATATCCAGCTGTATGATGACAGAGAGCAGCAGCTCCTGACGGGAACCATCAGTCATGTGACTCAACAACATTCAGCTGAATACTGGTGTGGAGTTCAGTCTGATCAAGGACACAAGAGCTTCATCACACGAGTCCTCCTCAGAGTTACTGGTCAGCACTGATGAAACAAACCAGCCTCTCTTATGCTTTTATTTCAAGTTGGCAGTTTGTGGTTTTGTGTGTCAGCAAACATGTCTGATGGTTCAGTAATGTGTGAAAAACACCAGCGTCTTTAAAAGGAAGTGAAGTATCAGTGAGTGAGAAAATATACACATCTAGCACTCCATCTTACTGACACTTTACTGTGTTTTAGATGCAAACAGTCACATAATATCTACATCACCATCACCATCATCATCTTCATCTTCATCTTTCTCATCAGGAGAATCTCCACTGATCTCATTTGCGTCTCCTGTAACAGGTACAAACTCACTGATTTCTGTCAGTCGGTCAGTTTTGATCTTCAGAGTGATTGAGTGAATCTCTGGTGTTTGCAGGCTCTTCTCTGATCATCAGTGTGTCTGTGCTTCTGCTTCTGATCTTCAGTGTGATTCTGTTGGTGATCGTCTCTCTCTGGAGGAGGCGTCAGTCTCACAGTAAAACTCCTGCTCCTTTACTCCCTCCTACACATTTAGTTTCTTTAACAGGTTTTTGTATATATTTCTGATCAAGCTGGTCCATTAACATTCAAAGAGATGTGATAACTACAATGATCAAGCTGGTCCATTAACATTCAAAGAGATGTGATAATGTCT